GGCCGGCCCAGTGACTGGCATTTCTATGAGGAAAATACCAAGTACTTAAAGAGTAGTAACAGTCTAAGGTTTGGCCTCATCACTCCATAAACAAAGACTAGTGTAAGCCCAAAAAGGAATGAACTTGGGTACCTAAAGGAAAAAATTCTCTAAGAGGCAGCAAAATTCAGAAACAACGTAAAGACATTTAAATCAAATGGCTCTATTTAGTCACAACAATTTCAAATAAGTCCTTACTATATATGCCAAATCTTGTTCTAAAATCTTTACTTATCTCATTTAACCTTCACAATGTCCACTTTACAGAAGAGTAAATTAAGCAGAATTTAAATAACTTGTCCAAGTCAGGGCCGAACAGGGATTCAAATTCAGTCTGACTCCATTATAGGACACTTTTTTTGTATCAACTATTCCCATTTACATTTCCACTGACAGTATTAAGCATCTAGGATAAAGCAAAAGTCAAAGCTACTTAGTGACTTCTGGAATGAGTTAGTCAACCTCTGAATATTCCTCCTTTTCAAAACTGAGAATACTCTTTAGCCATCAGATACCAGGCAGCACATACTTATCTGGGACGAAGTATCACATGAAGCTACCAAAACAAACAAACAAAAACTACACTATCATATTAATGTAGGGTACGGTAAACCACGGTCTGTGGGCCAAATTCAGCACTCAGCCTGTTTTTAGAACAGGCTAATGGTTTTTACATTTGTTAAAAGGTTGTAAAAACAAAACAAAGAAGAATTTGAGACAGCAGGGCCTAAAAAATGTACTCTCTTTACAAAAAAAGATTACCTACCCTTCATCTAAGCTACTGATAAGGGGTTTCTCCCCCTTTTTTAAAAGCTAAATGCAAGAACTAACTTGTAAGATACAAACTATTATTGAGACAGCAGGGCCTAAAAAATGTACTCTCTTTACAAAAAAAGATTACCTACCCTTCATCTAAGCTACTGATAAGGGGTTTCTCCCCCTTTTTTAAAAGCTAAATGCAAGAACTAACTTGTAAGATACAAACTATTTACTAGGAGTCTTAAAGACGGATTCCCTCAGCTCCAAACCATAAGACAAACCTCTGAAGCACATACCCCCAAAAAGGGCAAAAGTAAGTGGTGACAGTAGATTCTTTCAGGGTCTCTGATTTGCCCATGTGCTCATGTTTTTTGCAGTGGCTATTAAGAACAGCTTGACCCTTCCACCAAGCTGACTTTCTAGGCTGGACAATCTGCACAAGAAGGAAATGTGAAAGGCGACTGAACAAGTCACAAGAACTAACCGCATTCTCTTTAGTGATCTGTTCACTCCCAACTAAAAAATGATGCCATTTCCTAAATGTATCTGGACTTAAGGTAAAGAGGTGGGGGAGAAGGCAAATGAAAATGATCAACTTGCATTATTCAGGGCTGTTATTCACTTTTCCTCCTACAAGTAGGAATTACTACCTTTCATTTAGTTGAGCAAGACAATGGATTGGTCTCCACAACTTCAAGCAAGATGACATTTTAAAGATCAGAAGAGAAAATGCTAAACTTTAGACATTCCCCAGCAGAGCTAACCCAGAAATCAAAACAGGAAATTACAAGTCAACTGAACACATGCAAGTTGCAAGTACTGGGTGACTGCACTAGTTAGGTGGCTTGACAGGCACTGGCAAGCATCCATTAACAGTGCCAAACCTCTCATTCTTATTGCAACCTTTTACTACACAACCAAAAGCTTTATTTTTTGCCCAGAAATCCTTGGACACTTAATCAAATAACATTAATATAAAACATGCCATGTCATGAAGCTCCCTGATATTCATGATGACTCAGCAGCTGCTGCAAAACATCCAGTTGACAGCCTAGGATATTAGACAGCAAGCAGGTAGTCCACAAATCCACCAGAGTTCTTATTTTAAGATTAAATAAGAAATTCCTTATTTTAAGGTTAAAAAAAAAATCACTAAATAGGAGAGTATTCTTTTGTAGGAGGAGTCTTCAAAAAGTTCATGGAAGAATTCATATCAGCTTTTAATTTCCTTCTCATAAACTTTTTGAAGTTTCCTTGTATATAACCGCATACTTTTCTTTGGTTGTTTCTTCCAATATTAAATAACGCCTACAGTGTTAATCAAGAAATCCCTAAACATCTTTAATCCCAATTCAAAAGCTAAAACCTATTTTCTTTTTTAATTAAACGGCTGCGGCAAGACACCAAAAGTATTTTAGACAGTGGGCAGTGATAAATTATCAAGATCTAAAAACTACACAGCCTAAAATCATATTAGCCATAAGACAACTTGGATCACAGGTGTTCTGTTAAGGCATCATCTCACCAAAATTAGATTTTTATCTAAGTACATTTAAAAATAAGATGCAGATTATAACTTCTGCTACCTGGAATATATTAGCTCCCTTCTAAACTCTGTCCAGACCATCCACTGATCTGTATTCAAAACATTTCACTTTTCTATATGTAGTATAAGCAGATCTAAGAAAGCACTCAAAGATATTTATTCTTATGAGAAACAGAAAGTATGTATGTCTAACTTTTATTTTACAAAAGAATTAGACTAAATGGCCAGGCTTCCAACCTGAGATCTAATCTGAAATTTGCCTGCAAATACTCCTGTTCCTCACAAAGAAATCTGAAAACCAAGCTCTTTCTGTACATATCTGGGGGAAAACTGGTGGAAGTAATAATAATGCCAAGCCTTCTAACCATTAGTAGAAAACTACTTAATATATACATCACGATTTTTACTATTCAAAAATTTCCCTCAAATCTTTACTTTTAAAAATCTGTTGGTAATGACACAATTTACCAGCACCATCAAACAAAATGTTAAAGTGTTCAATCTTTATTATCATCCAGAATAAATCTAGGAAGTCTTCCTTTAACAGTATGCAACAAGTTAGACTTTTTTGCTATACTTTCGTCTCTTTAATAAGTTTACGACAAACCTACTTCCCACCTTAGTATCATTGAAAAGTTTTGTAAGTCACTTTATTAATATATAAGGATTGAGTAGGAAAATGTTAAAAACCTAAAACACAACATTTAAAAAATGTAATTTTCGGGTCGGCCCGTGGCTCACTCCTTAGAGTGCGGTGCTGATAACATCAAGGCCACGGGTTCGGATCCTATATAGGGATGGCCGGTTCGCTCACTGGCTGAGCGTGGTGCTGACAACAGCAAGTCAAGGGTTAAGATCCCCTCACCGGTCACCTTTAAAAACAAAAAAAAAGTAATTTTCTCAGAATCAAATGTCTCATTTACAACTAGCAGAAACTTCCTTTTATAATTTTAAACACCCACAAATGCATACAGTGGTTGAGTTATAAGACCACCAACATTCCTGTAGTGTCAAAAGTACCTAAACTTCTAGAATACGCCCAATAATATTAAAATATTTTGTGTATGAGATCAGAGCTGAAGTCCCGGTCAACTGTGGAGAATTCCAGCCTCCAAAATAAAGGGGGGGGGGGGGCAGGGGGGGG